CGGGTTATTTAGAGTGCACTTCCAGGTCTAAACACCGTTGTGTGGAAACCAAATGGAGCTCTGGTCGTGTTCTGCTGCCCTGCAAATGTGTTTGTGTGGAAACCAAATGGAGCTCTAGTCGTGTTCTCGTCGTGTTCTGCTGCCCTGCAAATGTGTGTGTGCCCTTGTGTCTGTCTGTCTCTGTGACTCTACCTTCTTTTGCTGCAATTTGCTGCTTTTATCGACATAGAGAGAGCAAGTGGTTTCTATGGCGACAGGCACTGTGAATTTCTCTGTAAACCCTTTTTTTTTGTTTCTTTTTTTTTGTTGTCAGTTTTAAAGCACTATGAAAGTGGCAGATTTTTTTTTTGGTGTGCACACCCACCTAAGGCCATGGAAAACTATCTGAGGCAATTAAGTTTGTGAACCATTTTAATTGACTAATAACTTGTTTTGATTTGTAGAAATTAAAAGTACATGGTTGACATTAAAAACTATTATTCCTTTTTTTAAATCTTTTCCAGGCTGTTGTTACACATGACGTAGTCAGTCTTTAGTCTTTGAGATGATAAACATTCAGGACCGGACAAGTGTTTACACGGGGACAGATCAACACATACAGACAAGAAATAAACACACAAACACACACGTTTTTGTGTTTGTGTTTGTGTGTTTGATCGTTTCTCTTCTTGCCGTCCACGTCCTCCCTTTGTCTCTCTCTCTTTTTCTCTCGTGACGTTTCTCACTTGTCTGTTATCGTTTCTCTTCTTGCCTAAAAGCGTCGGATTCATTTGTTGGCTTTATTACTGAAGAGCGCCTTAATATCCCACAATCCCGCAGTTTGTCCTTCCTGTCTTAAAGTATTACGATGAGAAACACAGAAACAGGTCTAATCAAAATATATTTCACGGGCCGCTACAGCACGGTAGGAAATGTGTCACAAATTACTATTCCCTACTGTCGCATTAAAAAAAAAAGGATTTTACGAGCAGTTGCACCGCCACGGCCGACGGAGCCGAGGCGTGTTGCCGAATCTGAGGGCCAAACTGCCATATATAGAGGAACAAAGTATTTCACTGATTCCGTCTCAGATGCTCATGAGGTGAATTACCCTCAGGTCAAGGAGTACAGCATATGTGCCAAACTCAAGGCCCGGGTGCCAGATGCGACCCGCCAAGCCGTTTGGTGTGGCCCGCGGGCCATGTCCATGCAGCAGAGTTTCTTCAAGGTTTTTGTTATTACACAGCAATGAACAATATTTGTAAAGAAAGTAAATGGATGTGACTGGATTTTCTTTGAATGAAGTAAATTAGTAAAAATTAGTTTTTTTAGTGTTCCACTGCGACCCGGTACCAAATGACCTGTGGACTGGTACTGGTCCGTGGAGCAGGAGTTGGGGAACCATGATCTATACAATCTCCCAGTTTCAACCGGCCCTTTAAGGGGAACTATATTGCAGATGTGGCCCCCTGGTGGTAATGAGTTTAACACCTCGAGAGTCAGAATTCTCTGTTAGGCTCCAACGTGCGTCGTTGTGAGAAGACACTCCCTCAAACAAACACACACACATTCAAAGAACACACCGCTTCGCCAGCCTCCCCATATTGAGGACTGGCTTCGCTCCAGTAGTCGCTATGTTCCATATTCAGCCACTTTACACACACACACATACAAAAACACATGGTAAATACTAAGCCAGGCTCCCTGTGTGCAGCACAACGCTGCCTCGATGCCTCATCATACACACAGAGACACACAAACACTCCACTGCTGAATGGCAAAGTAAAAACCGACCTTTTTTTTTTGTCTATGGGAAGAGGAATCAGTGTTCTGTCAGTGACATCAGACCATGACTGCCTATAAGGTCCAGTCACTTCCAAAACCCTGTCCTGTCCTGTCGGGCCTGATGTGATTTGAGCTGACTTCCCCTTCTTTTCCAAACCATCAGTGTGCGACACTCCTCCACTCCTCTGACTCCTCTCTGTGTGTTACTCAGTGTTAGTGTCCTGAAGGGCTGCGCTGCCTTTGATTTATGAACAACAAAGAGAGAAAACCTTAGAACAGAAGAGTTCGTTTGAGTCGTTTCTATGAAAAGAAGTCGCGTTATAAGGTTCTGATCGGCCACACGAGGCATGTAACGTTCATCTGCAGTATGTGTCGTATACGTATATAAGGTAGTACTTATGAATATCACCAAGGCTTCTTTTTAATCTACCCTTTACCTCCTCAACCAACAACCCATCAGGTTCTCTTTCACTAAAAAAAAGAATTTCATAATAGATATCGTATGTTTCTTTCCATCATAAATCAGCATCGAGGTCTTAACAGTTTTTTAATGCCGTCAACTCTTTGTCCAATTTACTTTCTTGACTCGGCACGTCCAAACTATCTCAGTTTCCTCTCTGACTTTATCTTAGTCACAGTTTTCCTGATCTGCTCATTTTTTAATTCCGTCCATCGTGGTCGCACCTAGTGAAAGTCTTAGAATATTAGGGTCGTTGTCTCATTTTCTATAAAAAGGAAATCATGTTCATTGTCTGGAACTCATTTTCTATAAAAAGGAAATCATGTTACTTACTAATGATTATTCTCGATTAATCGTGATTGTAGTTGAGTAGAAATGTTTGTACATAGAACATGATAGACTTTGCAGGAAATACAAAAATGTCTACATTACATACATGAGGATCTAGTCTCGGTCAACAATAATAATTAAATGTGGTCATTTAATAATTAAAGCTGTGGTTCGTTATGAGGAGAGCGAGGGAAACGGTCAAACCAACAACATGAAACGCTGACCGGACTCTGGACTTCACCAAAACAAACATCCAACGGTGTGTGTTTCTGTTTTCTGAGTGTGTGAGCAGCATGGTGCAGTGGAGGCAGCGGGTTGTTTCACTGAGGAGGAGGAGGAGGAGGAGGAGGAGGAGGAGGGGGAGGGGGTGTGCCTCCTGCTGCTCCTGATCTAACAGGTCACTCTGCCTGCTTGACCGGCTCCTGCATCATTCACTGCATCCTCTGAAACTCCTCCACCAATAAAAAGACACATTTTCCTGACTGTGGTTAATTGTTAGGGCTCGTCTCTTTAATTTAATTTATGAACGCCTGGTGACACCAGTTTTATTTGGTAGCTGTGACTAAGCTGTCTGACAGTTGCGATCTCTTAGGAATTTATTTGGAGAAAATTGTATTACGTATTTATTCTAACAAACTTTAAGTAGTGACGAACCATATTATGGTTTTATCATTTTGTGGATCCAGTCAAGTCTCAGAGCAGATGTGCAGTTTTACTGCGGATGCTACACACACACACACACACGCACACACATATGTACTTCTTAGATTTTGTCAGACACCCCAGGCTGCACCCCCTGTTTTTCCGGAGCGTCTTGGTGACCAACTGTGTGCTGAGCTCTTGAAAGAGCTTGGAAAGCCATCTCTGTCGTTCTAACTTCCCCTCCCTCTGCAATCTGGTCTGTGATTATAGCAATTACACTTCTCCATCACAACACTTCAACTTCCACTCAGATACAGACACACACACGTGCACACGGCAAAAGAGCAAGAACTGTATAGAGAGAACAATTTTAGGCAGAAAGGTTCTGTAATGGAGGTTCAGGCTTATTTTTATTTTTATTTATTTTTTTCATGATCTTTATTTCAGAGGGTGGCTTGGATGTAGGCAGAATCGATCTGACCCAGGTACAACTGAGTCCATGTTCAGAGTGCAGGAGTCTTTGCTCTAAGTGTGATGCAGTTAGACATGGATTAAAGAAAATTGTGAGAGAGAGACAGAGAGAGAGACAGAGAGAGAGAGAGAAAGCTCTCTCTCTCTCCTCAGTCTGTAATTTGCAGTCCATCCTCATTAGTTCTGATCACTGGCTGCTTCAATCCTATTTCGTTCTTTTTCCGTCTCCTTCTCTCTCTCTCCTTCACACACTTTCTCTCTCTCTCTCTCTGCCTTTGTTTACCATGTAGAGGTTGATTTATGTCGAGCCGCACTTGGCAGAGTTGGTGGCGTGGGCGAGAAACAGCAGCTGAAGGGTAGGGGTGGGGCATGAAAGAAGGGAGAAGGAGGGAAAACAAGGAAGGCCAAATCGAAAGACATGTTCCAGGGCAGAGGAGAGAGAGAAGGAATGAACCGAGGTTTGGAGGAGAATAGTGAGTAAGAATGAACGAGAAGGGGGTGAGGGGTGAGGGAGAGTGGGGGGGGGTGTGGTTGAGGAGACATGCTGAGGTGTTGCACTGTCCTCGGGTGTCTCACTCTGATTTGTGTTCTTCGTGTTGCCGCTTCATGTCAGAACACAAGGCGTCCTGCTGTGACTCTTTTCGCCCCATCGCTCCTGTTCTGCCGTTACATGGAAATTTTCGACAGAATAAAAACAGAGCAACAGTCAGTTGATTCTTTTTTTGTTTTGTTTTTTTTTTTCAAGGTCACTTTAACTGCGTTGTAATGTGTTGTTGTGATTTTAATAGGAAAAGATTGGTCAAATCTGAAGCTGGATTTTCAATACAATATAAACAGGAATAGAGTAACTCAAAGGATCAGCAGATCAGTATTTAAATCTACATCAAAACATGCAAAAGAATAAACAAGAGATGAAAGAAAAAGTTCAGTTTAAGGTTGAAATAAAAGCAAGAACTACAAACCCGAACAAGAACTTGAGAAAAACTGAGATTCAGATTCAGACATTTACCCTTTGCCTGTGGTAAATACTGGATCCCTGTGAAAGCACAGCTAATTTAACAGCACTCCAATAATAACCCATAATGAAACGGGGATAAGAATAGTACCTGTGGCATCTGAACCATCTTTACTCATTAAACAAAAGCAAAATAATTAAAAATGTTGAATTACTGATGGAAAGAAACTGATGATGGATCTTGATTTGAATATTTTTGCATGTGAAAAAAAATATATATTACAGTAAATAAATAATGACATGTGAAAAAAATAAATATATATTACAGTAAATAAATAATAATGATTTTTTTTTTCTTTTCTTTCCTCTGTCCTGCAGCCGGCCAGCTCAGCCAATCAGCTCACTTCTCTCTCCAGCTGCCCTACACCGTGCTCGGCCTTGGACGCAGTGCCAACTTCTTGGACCATCTTTTTGTCGGCATCCCACGGCCATCTAGCGAGACGGTAAAAAAAGAAAAAAAAATTGATGATGCTTTGAAACTGCTGGAGGCTGTTTGGTCTGTCGCTGTTCTCCAGTCTGACTCTTTTATAGTGAAGAGAAACTGAGGAAAATGAAAGAGAGACAAAGAGCCTCCTCCACTCACTGTGGCACATCTTTAAAAACTATACATATATATATATATATATATATATATATATGGTAAAAAGGTGTTTGTAGCCGAGCACAAGAAATCCTTTTTTTTTAGGGCTTCCATAACTCCCAGACTATATGAAAATCATTGAACCACTGGTCAGGGTTTAATGGAGATGAAGAAGTTTTACTTTCCAAACAAATAATAATGGTTGTAAAAGCAGAAAGAAAAAAAAATCAACCTTTTTTTTCTTTTCTTTTTTTTTTTTTAAATCAATACTTTTAAATGTGTGACATTTAGACCAAACCTGTACCTGTGACTTTTATTACATCTATAAAGGCCAGGATTTTGTCCCGTTCTGCTGAATCTGAACTGAAACTCAAGCTGCTTTATTGAAGTTGCTGGTTTGATTCTTATGTAAAGACAAACAAAAAATGTTTTGATTTATGACCAATCAAGCACACATGTCAGAAAAGACTTGGGTTTATAACTTCAGATTTGTTCTACTGAAAATTATACTTACTTCCTGTTTGCCGAGGTTGTAGCCACTCCCCTAAACCTGCCCCCCCCCAAGTCCAAACCTCCACATCAGTGGTCATTTCAGACATCGTCAGTGAGTCGGTCTGACCTGCCTTATCTTCATAGAAGCAGACTTTGCTGATATCAGACTTGGTTTCTCTGTGTCTGTCTTTGGCATATATACGTCTGACGTCATTTAAAAATGGAAAAAATACAGTCGGCTGAACTGAGCAGTCGACTGACTTCACTGCTTCACAGCCAAGGCCTTGATGATAGTTTGTCCACCTACGTGTTTGTTGATTAATAGCGTTGTAAACAGAAACCACTGGGGTTTTTTTCTTTTCCCATATATATATAATCAGAAGAAAACACTGCTCTGCAGAAATCAGCCATTCGTCAAGTGTCACTTTTTTTTAACCTTTCACAGCAGATCAACTTCACATCACACTTGTAATGTATAGTATGTATGGAGCAGATCAGGGTTGATGTGAAGGATGCTTGAAGGAACCGTCACCGTGATAACACACTCAGTTGTCATGTCTGTGAGTGAAGTTTTCAGGAATGCGAACTCTGTGTGTGTGTGTGTGTGTGTGTGTGTGTGTGTGTGTGTGTGTGTGTGTTCTGTCATTCCACAAGCTAGCATTATATAACAACACACTCCATTATTGATTGTTTTTTATGGTTTGAATCCATTTGTCAAACACACTGCTGTACTACACTTCCCCCAAACAGTAGCTCTGTCTGTCTATCCATAGCTCTCTCTCTCTTTCTCTCTTTCTCTCTCTCTCCCTCATGTTGCACTTGTCACACTGAATATTAGGCACGACACGTCCCCTTTTTTCCTGCCCGTGTGGTACCATGGACTTCGTCAAGCGGCTGATTAGAATTGCAGATTTGCTCGGTCCAGGATTCAGAAACCAGAAGCTCTGTGAGAGCACTCAGCTTAAACAAGCTGCTTTGTTATCCTCTTCCTGCACGCTGCTGGTTTTTCTATTCAAAGAAATTGCATCTATTTTCTTTCACTCCGCACGCCCGCTCCTCCGTCACCCATTTCTTCTGCAAAGGGAATCCATGATTGCCCGAAGATATGTCTCTTACCTAGAATCAATCCCTCCCTGCACCCTGGGAGTCAGCAGTGCAGAGTAACTCCTTTACATCTACCCACGCTGAGTTGGAGAAGTTTGGGCGAGTTCTTTGGATTAGAGAAGGCTCAGAAATGCAGACCACTTTCTCCTTAGTTGGCAGGTGCTGATCTTTCTTCTTCTTCACACGTTTCCTGGGGTACATTATGTCATTTTTCTTTTTTTTTTTTGACTTTATTTCCCTGCCTTTATGGCCACTGTGCTCCCATCCATTTACTTCCCGCCCCATTCCATTAACATTTGTCACCTGCAAACACAGAGTTCCCGTCTCCTATTCTTCAGAGGAAGAGTATTTTTTTTTTCTAAGTACTCATATATTTTCTGTCTCCCGTCGAATCCCTGACCTTTATATTTACCCTGGCTCCTCCCGTTCGCTCTTCTCTCACCTGTGGGATTTCCTTTGCTGCTTGAAAGTAGTTTACTTTACTAATAAGTCCTCCACTTGCCACTTCCTCACTCCTTCCACCCGTCTCCAAACAGTCAGATCGGATCCACTCCCAGTCAGAGGCAGTAAAGTCTGACTCTGACTTCATCTCTTACCCCCCCCACGAGCTGCGGCACCCTAGGCAGTACTTTCTAAGAGTAAAGCGACAATGGCTAGCGGCAAGAATATGTTCATTATGTAAAAAGCAGGTGCGCGTGTTCTGCTCTCACACAAACTGACGATTGACAGGGCCGCTAGGCTAGTAGTTAGCACCCGTACTGTTTGCTAAACATCGAGCATAAATTTCTTTCATTTCTGGCAACAATCATGATTAAAATATCACAGTAAATTATTGATATCACGACCCCCGTCCCATATTTATCTGCCTGAGCCAACGTTAGGTCTTGGCCTCACATGATTTCAAATCCATTAACAAAAAACAAGGCATATTGTGCCTCGGAAAAATAAAAAGCAACCAGCACTTTTTCAGAGAGCCCTACATATCAGACAACTTATTGTTTGCCGAGGCAGAGTACAGTCTGTGTCTGTAACTTATATCAGATCTCATCTCTGGTTGCCGAGCCCGGAGGCAGCAAACGACTGAAAATGAAACTTGTTCCAAGTGGAAACTGCCATAAACCACATGGCTGGCAGTCACTGCAGTGCGAGTCCCGGTGGTTGCTGCTGTTGACGACAGTTCAGTTAAACAGTTCTGCTCTCAAATTTATAACCGATATAAAAAACTATAATACAAGTGACAGAAAAACAAAAGAACGGTGACCAGAAATCCTACCGTGGTCCTGAACTCAGGGGGTCAGAAGAAAAGGAAAGGACACATGGCCCTGATTTCCCACTTGTGTTTTATGAGTTGGTCCTTGTGGTGTTTTTCCAACATTGAATTGAAACTGTTCACAAAACGTAGCCTCAACATTCACAGACGAGATGCTGTGCAGAAACAAGAGCCGTTCTGTTGCAGTGACAAGTGGAACATCACCTGAATGTGATGAAGCGTTCCTAGACTTACTCGTCCGCCCCCAAATACAGAGAGATAACTCCTCTAACGGGGAGAACACCGTGTGTTTACGAAACATCTGTTGCATCTGAGGATATTTTCTCTGCTTTCTGTCTTTCATTCCTACTGTATTTGGAATTTGCTTCTTATAACCAGACTTGAATAAAGTCTTTGGTTTCCACCGTTTCCTCTTCATGAGAAATGGAACATTAGGAGGATGACATGTCCGTCAGTGTCCATGTGATGGTGTGATCATCTTGTTCATCATTACTGGGCAACTCGAACACACAGTTGTGACAGTAATTACTTTGCGTCACCTCTGAGAGTGTGTGTTCATGTGTGTGTTTTCTTTAAGCAGCCAGTGATTGGTTTCCTTCCTCCCTCCACTGTGAGACTGAGATAACTCACAGAGAAATAGTCGTTCACAACACATTTATACCATAGGCTTTTGAACACCACACACACATATTTATCAGGGGAAAAAAATGAAATGTTTTTCCCTTAAGCAGGAGTAATTTATTTAAGGAAGCAGGTTGTCTTTATTGTAAAGGAACAGCTTAAAATAGCAACACTACCTTAGCCACAGAAAACTGTGACTCCATTACTGGGCCCCGTAGGACTTAACATACATAATGTGTACGAGTGTGTGTGTGATTTTTATGGAAATATGCATAACTTTTTATATCCTCCACCTTCATGTCTCCACTGTTCCTTTCCAGAGCATCAGGGAGAAAGAATGGACGGCCATCATCCCCAACTCGCAGCTCATCGTCATCCCCTTCCCACACGACCAACCCCACAGGTACACAATCTGTAAATTACACCGTTAAAATGGGTCACAGTTGTTCATTTCCTCGTACCTCCGTGTATTGCCCTGTTTCTGTAGGAGAAACCATTGATGCCCTGGATACCATTCAATACAAACTCATCCGACGGCACTTAAAGACATATTGAGGTTTAGCTTCAGGCGCCGTTGTGTGCTGTAATAAAACTGCTGTTTTTTTTTTTATTATTGTCGTTTATTGAACAAACACACACAATCTGTTCCAACCTATTGTCCTTATTGCCGTGTTTTGAAGGCATATATGAAGCCAAAAACAAAGAATGGCTAGTTAGCATCAGCTAACACACACACACACACACACACACACACGTGGTTACCCTGTCTGGACATGTCACTGCAGACACATGTCTTTTTACACAACATATAAACAAAAACATCCTGGTAGATTTAATATATTTCATTCATACATATATATATGTATATATGTATATATATAT